TATCTTTGCTATTTTAAATACTGAGCTAAGGACTTCACCACTTACGAATTTCTGCACCACTAACTGGGAATCATGTAGTATACCAACGTGGATGCAATGAGTTACAGAAAATCAACGACGGATTCATAACGGATTTAATTAGACTATGTCGTGTATATTGTTTTAATGCCAATACTACTCAACAAGACTGTTCTTTCACTCAAATCTCGTGCAGTTATTTTATTTTGTTAGTATATAGTCTAACAAGTTAGTAATGACTGTCTAAAATACCATAGAAATACTGATGACTGTACTTAGTTCAGGAGAGTTTTCATCATAGCTTGCAACTAAGACTAGTAACAGTGAAAAAGTGGTTCATAACGTACAAAATAGGTGATGACAAAAGTGATTTATGATAAGTAATAGACCATTAGGCTGTGAAACTAGGAAGAGATAAAGATTGTCAAGTTGTGAATGTACCACGTGCAACGACTATAGCGAAAAAATAGTTAATTTTTCTGTCACTACGAGTTTCTTATCAAAGAAAAATTGAATAAATTCATTTAGAGTTCTATTTAATGCCTTGTAGTATTTATGAGTACCTTTTGGTTGAAACTAGACTTTTGTGTTACCATTTAATAATTTCTTTCTTTAAAGATTATTTTGCTAAAATGATCAGTTACATTCTAGACTCTTTATGGAATTTCTAGTTTTTGTATATCGAAGCAAACATCGTTTACTCTTATGAAAGTAATAAGAGTATATTGCGCGTATAGTCGTTAAAAACTTTCATGTAGAACAACCCAAAACTTTCCCCATAAAGTGAAGTGCCAAATACAAGTCACTACATGTCGGTTTGATATAGCTATCATAATTTGTATATGCACTTAAAAATTATGTGCATTTACAAACTGATATTCTTGAAGTATTTTTATCGACAGATGGAATTTTTAGATATTCTATAGTGGATAATAAAAGTGCCTATTAAGCGAATAATGATAAGAAAACATTGATAATAGTCAGCGAAGTGGGACCTGCATTTATAAACCAGGTGCGAGACAACTAGTACATGATTACTTTTCTAGAAGTTATTAGCGTTACTCTTTGTTACACATCATTTTATTCGAACTTTTTAACATGTTGTTACTAAACTTCAGTAGGTTTTGAAACTTTTTACAAATATTTGAAAAAAATTAGCAAAGAATACACCTGAAAAAATATGTCCCAAGGTATAAAGAATGCAGAAAGTCTTAAGGTTCTCACACATACACATTTGAGGAAACAGCTACTATGAGGACCTATTATATATTGGTCTTTTTCAGTAATTTTTTAATAGAAATTACAATAAGAAAAAGCTTAGAAGTTTGATACATGAAGTTAATCAGAAGAATCATACAACCCGAACTGCACGAGGAAAAAAAGGATTTAATGCATAAGAAGAGTAGTAACACGGGATATCCATAAATTATTTTTCTTAACTATCACAAAAGGGTGGGTTTTCTTCGAGTTGAGTCGTATCTACGAACAACTTCAGTCTGTGTAATATCACCACCTTCTTGTTGGGAAAAAGCATAACCATCTACAATAAACTATTCTTTGTATTAGATTAAATTTCTAACTACCTTAAAGTGGTTCATAAAATACTGATAAAGAATCCCTCTTAATTTTGATATATATAACTATATTGTATATTTGAGGCTCACGCTCTGACAGACGAAGTGGATTTAGCTGCTGTTCGGAAGCAACACCCGTGAAAGACCGGTTGCTCATTTCATCATCTTCTAAAAGTTGAGAACTTGTGGTAGAAAGCCTCCTGAAATAGTTGAAAAATTAATCTACGAGGAACAGTCTTCATAAGCTGATGATCGATGGTGATATGCAGAAATTAAAACACGAAATCTGTGCCAGAATTTAAATACGCGTAAGACAAAAAGCTTGATATATGTTTAAGTAATTAATAAATATCCAATATATTAAAAATTTTAAAAAAAGATTTCATTACTTATGAATTTTCATTTATACTCGTGAAAGAAAACAAGCATACTAGACCATTCCATTAAATTCTTAATAATCATCATTTTCCTGTGCAATATATAACTACAGTTCAAAAAATATTAGAGCAAATTATTGAACTTAAAACGAAATAAGAAGACAGTAAAATTTTTTATTTATTTTAGAGTTCTAAAAACTTTTAGGGTAAATCATCACCAAAAAATGAAATTAACTGAGATAACATCTATACTAAGTGGTAGCTGAAGTGAAGGTTGAAGCGAAAAAGATACATCTAAAACAGCATGCAGAAACAAGCATCAACTTTAAATTACGAATACAGCAAGGGATTACTAAATGAATTGACATTTCTTTCAGTATAAAAAATAGAGCAAAGATGAGCATGACTAAAGGACGGTTAGAAAAAAGTACTGAATGCAGATAATGTAATGAGACCTCTCAGGAGGTGTTGCTGATATCTTTGGCGGCAGATGTTGAGCAATTTTTTGCGCAACTGGATGGTACTCCTCAATCTGCCTTAAATCAGCACTTCCTGTAATACTACCACATACTGTTTCACTAACGGTACTACCAGATTCTGGTCGTTGTTGCTCTCCAGTATGCTGAGTGAACCGCAAACTACAAAAAGCAAACGCAAAAATGCAAAATTGAAGGAAACTAAACACAAAACCAATTCAGAGAAAGCTTAAGTGACTTTCTTCTCTAATTATTCCTCAAAGCTTGTTAAGAAGGCTAAAAATAATGTTAACAGGAATGCAGAACACCAAATTCAAAACATAAAATCTAACACATGTATATCATAAGGCATTTCATTCCGACATGCCAAACATTTTTTGCATACAAATTTGTTCTCATGCTTCATAAAAACATCTTCAATTTTATTCTCACCAGTAATAATTGAATTTCAATTCATCAAAAGTTCCTGTGTTTTTGGATACTTCACGCCACTAAATACGACAGAGTCAAAAAGTGGGAAAAGAAACATTAGTTTGGCTTCTATCTCAAATCAAACAAGCTTGTATTTTTATTCTGATTTCGAGTAAAACTACTTATATATGATAAAAAGAGTCTTTTATCTGGGGTCATAGATACTATTGAAGACATAAAAATATAACCAAAACCTTCAATAGGAGACAGAACTTGTTTGAAAATTGTTTTTAAAATGATGTATAAAATTAAGTTCTTGAGAGAAATCTAATATTAAGTTGAATTTCGTGGTTGAATTTATAAGTAATAAATTGATTGCAGAAACTCATTGATTTCATTAACATTGAACGCTGCTAAACCATGGTACGAGTAACAAAAAACACAAGGAAAAGAAATGCTTTGGTAAAAAAACATACAGAAAGACAAGACACAAGATAATGTACAGAGGTACCCGTTTTAACGAGATAATAATGCCACTAAGTCAACTAATCCTTTATAAGGAGCAACCACCTATAACTATTCGGACTCCAGCGCGAGAAAAAACTATATAAAGATTACGTGCCGTAACATCGAATGACGTTAGATAAAAAATACCAGTCTAATTCGCAATACAAATCACGTTTCTGCTTCTTGAATTGATCATGTGAATAAGCCATTTCTCTTGGAGTCGGCGCCAAAGTAACCCGAATCCTAAATTTTTGGTCTATGACATTTCAATTTTTTCTAAAATCGATATGAAAATGCTAACTGTATGCCACAAATAAAGGACTTACAATCTTAGGAAAGATCTTTAACACATATTTTTAATTTAATTACCATCATATTTTAGCCAGTAATGGAAATTCAAAAATCTAAGATTAAGAGTTATCGAAAAATGTAATCTTACGTTTTAATGACTAAATCAGTTAATAAAGTGATTATTGGAATAAAAATGAATGCAAGCCAAAAAGATGATGAACTCAAAAGTATATACGCCATACCACACATTTGTTCTCCAATCGGAAAAAGAGGCCAGAGCTACAAACACACCATGTTAACATTTGAAAATTCATGCACAAAGATTACATATTCTTCCAAAAACTACTAATTTTCTGTGTTAACAAAAAGATTAAGATTACTGAATATTTGTTACAACAGGCTCATGAAAAATGCAATATTTACCGCTGAGTAAACAGGAAGAAAAATAAACCATAGCATAACTGAGCCAATGCAAGAACATACTGTAACTACGGTCCACGAATCGGATTCCAATAAAGCTTTTAAACAAACTGTAGTAACAACAAACTAAAAAATTGCACGCCGATTTAAGTTGAAAAAGTTTTTTAATATAGTTTGTCTTGACGTCAACAACAGTATATTCGGTTGGTATCTCATAACTTTGTAATCATCAGCTATTTGCACTGTACTACTTGTTTGAGACATTTACCAAGAATTTACAAAATTCAGAAGAATAAAGAAGACTAACCGTATAGCACGAATTTCCCAACATCAACCAACCACCTACTCTACCGTTGGGCCATACTACAGCATTATGAAGAAACAGATATGATAAAAAAAAAAGAAGCAAAGAATGCCACGCCGCCAAACCAACCCATTCTAAAAACTGCTGAAATAAATAACAATCAACACATATCGAACTTTATTTCCTTGGATATATCTATATTTTTTGATGAATATTCTCTTTTTATAAAAATAATAATTTTTATCATGTTATAACTAGTTACTAAAAGGAGACAAAACTTACACAAACAGTAAATGCTCGTTTGTGAAAACTTTCATATAATCCTGGGTAAGAAAGCATCATTTGATCCGAGAGTGGTCTATCAAACAATCCAAGTATTATAGGGGGTAATGCCGTGAATGCCACATTAAATAGAGCAATGGTCCATCTTTCAAATATTGTCTGGCCAGAGAAAGCGGAATATATTGCAAACCATAATTCAATCAAATATAAACAAATATTTTTGTAAAAACAATACAATATCACCTAAATTAATTGAAGATCAGAAATTTTGGGCGAAAATGCTTCAAAAAAGTCAATTCATGCACTAATCTACTGCAATATTGTGAACCAAAATCAATTCAGGAGAAAATTTCTCGTTTCTATAATTTATTAAAGAAAAAAAATTACTATCAAGAACAGCTCACAAAGCTAAAGCAGCTAACTGCATTGAGTTTAGCTATAATGTCTTGTACATATCATTTGCAGTCAAAATAAAGAGCTGCTAAAAAACGTCTGCACTATTAATTATGCATTTTAACACCGTTTAAAAAATATGCGCACAAAATAAGAAAAATTAAAAAAATTAACTAAGACCTTGACACCTCGTTCATAACTCCATGCACCATGAACCAGCAAAAGCCTACGCAAAAAATGAAATTGTGCAATAGCATAATCACTGGCAGATGCGGCTTGTAATCCTTCTTCGCCAAATATTCCAACACCAACATTAGCAGCCTTAAATAATAAAAAGTACAAAAAAAATTCTGCAAAATATACTTCACCAAATGTGCTCAACATGCAGAGCATGAATAATAGAGCTCATAAGTCATTCAAATTTCTAGCATATAGAAAAAAAAAAACTTTTCAAATTTCACTTCCTTATTATTCTACTTGATGAGCAATGAATGAATACTTGTATCATAGCTACATCATTTGCACCATCACCAACTGCTAAAACTACATGATTTCCAACTTCGCGAACCATTTCAACAACCTCGGCCTTTTGCATTGGCGTCATTCTACAGCATACCACTGCAGAGCATATTATAGCTAATTTACCAAAAACTTCTCTACATTTCGATTCAATGATGTATCTCAACGTCTGCAAATCGTTAATTAGTTGATTTTATTGGACTTGCAATGTATTTTGCGTCTCTTTATTTTGATGGTATTTTTTCCCAAAATTAGGTTTTCTTAATTCGAAAAAGAAATAAAAATCATCCGCGTTTATTTTTTACACGTATTTACGGAAAATGAGTGAAATATGATTCAAAAGAAATCAAATAATTCGGCTCAAAAAATTTTTTTAAATTCACGATCCGAAATAATCTATTTGAATTATTTTTCTCGTTACTGGTTTTACTTTTTCTTGAAACCAGAAAAATTTTACTTTGTATTGCACACGCATCTTAAGTATGAATAAAAAGGCAAATAGATAAACTAAATAAACGTACACAGCCATCAATAATTAGAGCATTTTGAACAGCAGATGCCTGAATGCCAATGTTGTACTCACAAAGTTTTTCAAAAACTTCCCCACTTGAATTAATATCGATCAACCAACACTTCATCTCTGAATGGATAATACCTGCTGAACGAGCTATATTGATAGCAGTTTCACGTTTATCTCCAGTTAACATCCATATACGTATTTGGGCAACGTGCAATGCAGCAACTGTTTCCGGTACATACTTAAATTAACTATACAAAAGCACTGAATAAGATATGAATGTAGAGCTAAGAGAATTTATAAGATATTTTTAGATGTCAGATTAGAATAGAATTTATCTTTGTTTATTCTTTTGACCTCATCTTTCGACTGGAAATTTGGTTTCGCTAGTATTTTATGAAGATTCAGGTAAATCACACTTAATATTACATATATTACAAAATTTCTCATACTTCACAAATTTTATACAATTCCTAGAAAAATAATGCATATTCCATACATTTTATTACTTTATAACTTCAAAAAAATTTTTAGCTTCCATTTTAGGATGATATCAGCGTTAATAACCACAAGCACTATAATATGAATTATAATTATTGGCTAATAGCATGCAAACCAACTTCTTGGAGTTTATCTTCAATTGCAGATGCACCAATTAAAGTAAGATTTTTTTCAATTTTGTCTGCACATTCAGCCAATTTCTCTTTTCGTTTATCAATAGAAATAGAAGCATCTTCAAATTCTTTTGCCCATTTTTTGTATTCACTAGACTTCAATATTCGCATCGCAAAACAAAGAGTTCGATAACCCTACAATTTGTAGGATACAGCATATAAATTACTGATGAAGAATGAAGTACAAACTGATAAATGAGTAGACCTCCCATATGCCTGGAAGGATTTCAAATTAATAAACATAACTCAACAGCATCGTTTTTGAAAAAAAACATACTTTCGATGCATAATCTAATAAGTGGCTAGTACAGTTATTAAGATCTGGTGAATTGTCACATAATCTCTGAAAAACCACTGTGTCCTAAAAACATGTTAGTTTTTAAAAGCATAGTAATCGTGATAGCAATGATAAAAAATTTTAAACTCAAAGAATGCTTTAATAGGAAACAATAAGTAATTAGCGAAATCAAAAACAAGAACAAAGTATCAGCTTTTAGCATTTTGTGCAGACCGATCTCTATATTCGATGAACTAAAAAAAGTATATCATGTGCAGCAGGTCGGAGGGTAATGTTCTTTTCTGTCTTCTTGATTTTTGCGTTGGATCGGGGTCTGGTATTCTCACCCACCGTACTCGACCGGTGCTTAGTTCCGTTGGTTCCGGTACACTGGTCGAGTGCTTTCCCATGTTCTTTACTCAGCTTTATTCAATAATCTCCCTATCTTTTATTTGTTTCCATTTATGATTCCAGGCCCGGCTTTCTTACGTTTCTACCCCATTTCACTCGACAGAGCTGAACACAGAATATAGAGAGTGAAATAGCAATTTTTACTCTCTATATTCTATGAATTAGAAAAAGTATATATATATATATATAAAGTGACAGCTCTTCTCCTACTATTAGTTCTATGCATGGACTCATTGAGCCGTAGGCACGATATCACATCCCAAAGGTGGAGGTTTCCACCGATCAAGGAACGTATGTAACAAATCACTTATTATTTGTGAATAATCTTAAGCTCCTTTGCTACCGAAAACGTCACGAAAGCTACGGCCGAAGAAATTCAGACGTTCTTTGAACCAGTAGAGTTAGAGGTAAATGCAACACAAAGTCAACCACTAATACTGTGGTATGCGCTCATAATGCGATACTTTTGCAATGAGCTCAAGGGTATAAAAATGCCTTGGAATAATGATAGACATGACTAGTTTTCTCCGATTTAAGAAAAGTACGATAAAATGCAAGCAGAGATTTTGGCGAGAATTGAGCGATTAGCTAAAACTGCATTAAACAGCTAAATCTTTATCAAGGCAGTAAATGAACACGCCACAGGTTTAACAAACTATTATACAGGAGTGCTCAAAACTGGAATCAGAGGATTTTCGAGCAAATGACCATGATATTAGACAGTTACTAAATAGATACGGAATTCATAGTTAACCTGCATGTTTGGAGAGACTGTACCTGCCAAGGGACATATTAGGACATGGACTTCACTACCTGAACAAAGGAGTGAGCTTATGTTTCTGCAACTTCATAACGTATTTATAGAAAGTGTGACAGTTCTGATGCAGAAAAAAACTCATAACACGTACTCGGCAGTTATGTGCCCTACCTTCAAACTAAATACAATCTCGTAGGAAACCCAACCGTCAAAAACGTATTAGCAGCTCAGAAAGCACTCCTGTACAGCAAAATAGAAAAGAAAACTCGTCATGCAAATCTATACACAATGCCCAGACATGAGCTAGCCTCAATGTCAGATTCATTAATTTGGCTGTGATTTGGAAATATTATCTCACAGAATGAAGCGCGATACTGTCATCTCCAAGACAGAAATATGTTTGGAGCAACGCAGTGTGAAAAAATGTTATATTACGACCATACTAGAAGATACAATGAGGACTGTGATGAATTAATTTAGGACTCTATAAAAAGTATGGTTTGAAAGCATTCCCACGCATGCGGAGCCATTCCATTCACTAATCGTCGCTTATGAGAACGTGGAAATTAGAGTCGAAACGCAAGTATGCAATTAGATTAAGAGTGGATCGACCGGTTTATACTGGCATACTATAAGAAGTAACCCGAACTACTTCAAATAGAGGCTGACATCACAGGTCAGGACGGGCTGATAGCAGTCGAGATCGAGAAGAAGCGAAAGTATGATTTACTGGTTAACAAACTTGGGGCAGAGATTAAATGCAGAACGAAAATAATCCCGTAAGTAATGAACTGGAATGGAATAGAGATAAACTTCCATAAACGTTACGCGGAGGAAATTAGTGTATCTGATCAAGTCAAGGCATATATTTAATCAACAGTACTCAAAAGACACTAGAAAGCATCTCATTTGTTTAGCACCGCGGATTCGATGAGAACGAAGCAGTGAAGATCAGCACAGCAGAACTGAACGTAGGCTGAGTGCATCGAAAATCCCAGAATACGATCCAGCGCAATAATCAATAATGAAGAAAAGAAGAATTATATCCGTATAATATATATATACGGATATAATTATATATATATAATGCCTAGTGAATAAAAGAAAAAGCTTAATAACTAACCGCTCCTTTGACATATAATTTAAGGACACCATCAGGACACTGGATAACAACACCCATTCTTTTCCTATCACTCGTGAATTCCAATACATTCAAGATTTTATAAGTTTTAAGATTACCAAGCTAAAAGTATTTTGATGAAATTTATATCGTAAGTGATTAAATTCTTTTTCTCTTTGATGGAAGGAATGACTACCTTGTACACAATTGAATAATCTTTTCGTAATAGAATAAATCAATATGAAATACAGAAATCTATGAAATGAAAACAAGAGTGCAAAATGTGACTAAAATCAACCTCCGAAACAAGAATACTCTGTGGTTTTCTCGTCTGAAACACAAATCCAAGGGATGCAGCAGCACGAACAAGTGCTCCTTCATCAGGTGAAGAAGCTTGATAATGTATCATTCCATCTTTTCCAAATTCTGGTACAACCGTGTGACAAATGGCCATCATTCGAAGAAATTCTTTTGCTACATTAGTTTTTTCCTACACAAAGCATCCACACAAATATAAATGAAGAAAGAGGTGCTGTCAATAATATTTATTTAAGTAAATTTCATAATACTTTTTTAATCTTTTTGTCTTTTTCATAACTCATTCAATTTGCAATTTTTCGAACAATGATTAGTATTATCAAGTTAAATGCTCAAAAACTGATTTACTAGCAAACAATCTCGTGAAAATTACGATATGATCGCCATTGAAAAAGGCTGAAAACGATTTTATTATGTAAGAATGAATAAAAATAAGTTGCAAATAAAAACTAACATTACATGTTCCAATGAGTTCCAACAAACCACGATCTTCAAAGGAGTCTGCTTCATCACTTCCAAAACTTATACCTCCTACTGAGCACTTTTTGAATTTCATAATATTACGAGTTAACGTTCCGGTTTTATCGCTCATTATAAATTTCACCTTAAACAATAACGAAAGCAAAATACTGACAATCAAAACATTAACAGATCCCTGACTTCAAATACTAAATGAAACTAAGAGCTTATTTTTTTGAAACAGAATCACGACTAAGAAATTAAACATCCTCAACAAAGCTTTAAATTCTCAAACTTAAGCATTGTTTTCATGTTTTAAGTTTTCCAATTCTGCTTTGCATGACTTCAACTATCAGTAAGACTGTAATCATTACACCTTTACCATTATTAAATAAATGACTTAAAATAACGAATAATAATATTTAAAAAACTAAAAAAACTCACTGACATTCCGCAATCAATTCATAAATCAGGTAATTTTGAACATAATAACATTTACCTGTCCCAATTCCTCGTTTAAATTTGACGTTCTTGCTACCGCACAACTGTCTGACTGCTCATCGTACATGGCAATATCCTAATGTTTTGCATTTGTTAAGGAAACAGCTTTATTATTAAGTAGTTTACTATTCTCGTTAGTACTGCATTACCGTGACAACAGATGTGATTCTGTTGAAATAAGTAGACTCAGTTCCAAAAATAATATTCAGAAAGTTATTAATATATGTCTCAATTTTATAAAATAAGTGAGATGTAAATCATTTTGGTCACCAAAACAAAAAGAAAACGAAATGACAATTATGAAGAAAACTTACATTACTTATTAACATTGCTTGGAAAAATCGCACTAATTCCAGCGTAACTTGCAATGAAATGGGAATCAAGTTATTGTATAAAATAAAGAAAGTTATTATATTCCAGAAAAAGCCGAGAAATCCTCGCTCTAAAAATATCTCACTTTATGGCGTGAACAAAGAGAAGAATAACATAAATTTGCTTGCTAAAAGAAAATTTCGTAAGCAGGTTATCAAACTGAATGCGCGGAAGAATATTCATTTGGTTCTACAACAGAAAAAAAATTTATCTACTCAATCCCATCATTATCATATTTGCTACTACCTAAAACTTTTTATAACAAACTATTAAAATCCAAGATTTTACAGCAAACATAAATTAAGCATTTACGGAACAATAAATCAGAACGAACCTTGAACCCCAATATAATAAGCATGCGTTAATAATATATGATCAAAAAAAAACGCTCCTGTAGCGCTTACCAATGAGAGAACAATAAGCACGAAAAATAAAAATAAAATTCGTTGATTAGTAATAACATCAATTCTAGATCTGAAATACAATGGCTCACAAAGGACACTTGAATTCATAGTTTAAATAACAAATTAAGTGAAAATGAACAACGTAAGAGAAAGTGTTACCTAAAAAATAGCATAAAAAATAAAAACGACATAGTAAAAGTTTTCTGCAAGAAATTTTCTTTGCGCCATTATAATCATCAAAAAACCAATTGATTAACGGTTTTCATAGAAATGAAGTTAAAATCAAGGTTTATGTGGTGCTACTTTAAATTAAACTCTTTTAAGTTCCTGAAATTACTGTTTCAAAGGAGCAGTCGTGGAATTCATTAAAAGTTTTGCGTCATGTCCAGTATATAACACTGCTCCACATATCCAATGCGTATTTTTTAATCGAGCACCACGCAATAACAACTGAGTAATGCCTAGTGAGTAGATTTCATTAGATGAGTAGCTATATATGTAAACCGACAAATTATTACAATATAAATTATCATCCGTATCAAGTATGCGTTGAATATGATGCTGCTCAAATTTGTGTATAGTCGAATTTACATTTAAATGGAACAACACCTTTTAAAAGCTTTAACCTACAACACAAGTCTCAGTCATCCGAGCTTTTTCACCTCAGTGATTCTTAATCGTATGATTCTAACACCTTATATTGCCTGAATCACTGATTTAGAATTTTAAAGTAAAAAAGATTACGAGATAGATGATTACAAACATACTTAAAGGGCGATACAAATCATTTAAATGCAACGTCCCCGTAAACTCGTTTACATCACGACTTGGATGTTCACATTCAACCTCGCACTGAAAATTTCCAATTGCTTCAGTTGCTATTAGATTTGAAGTAATTTGAAGCCCCTGTCGAATTTTCAAATTTGTTTCCCCATCCAAATTTGACGTTTCAATATAAGCCATCCCTAGCGGTTCGCTAGATGACAACAGAACCATGTCCGCAGGAAACATTTGACCACTTTCCACTCTCACAATGTCACCCACTTGCAACTGAAAGTATTAACAAACACTTCCAGAATTATTTCGTTCAATCACTCTGCAACATCTTGTTATTATTTTTACATTATTACAACAAATTATCTATTTTATTGAGCTTCTAAGTTAGCACGCAATTATTCCGTCGTAGTTCCCATGGTAAAAAATACATGGAATACTGAATCATTCAAACTGAATTGCGAGTCTTTTCTATGTAATTTATTGCAAATGTGAGAAATCCATATGGCGAGAAAAATTTTGATACTCATTAACGTTATGAAAAGTTTCACTATTTCCCAACATAATATTTTAGATATAACTGTTCAATTCAAGCAATTAGTTTGCTAACCACACATCTTAAACTTCCTTTTCCATGTAAAACTCACATCCTTCCATAAACAATATGTCCATTTGTGGTCTCTGATTACTGCTGCACGATAATTATTAACTTTTTGATCAGATTTTCTTCTCTTCTGTAAAAACAATTATAAACTGTCAATTTTATTAAAATATATGCGTTATATTCTAGTTAAATCATCTCTATACTGTGGCCAATCATAATACTCAATAAATTATTTGTAAAGCCTACAATATCTTCAAATATTTCTTTCATAGCCGAAACAAATAAAATGATAAGAAATGGTCCTGCAGTGGTGAATCGACCAGTTGGACTAACATTAGGAATTTGCTGCAATTAAGGTAAATATTAAATTAATGAATGAATGACATTTATATGAAATAATCTTTCTGAAAATTCAAATCTTGCAATGCTTGAAAATATAACATTGATTTTTTTATTACAAAATAATTGAAAAATCTATCCAATTAATATAAATTACATACTTACAACATATGATTAACAGTTTCCACAAAATTCAAACATCATTTATTTGAATGAGTTGGAGAAAAATTTTAATTCAAAGGTGCACTGACCTGCAGAAGTGCGATAATAAGAAAAAATACATTGCTATATCGCCTGAATTGTTCTTTTAAAAAACGTGGAAGAAACGAAAGTGCGCCATACTTTGTAGTGCTAAATACAATTTAAAACAGATGTTACTAAACGTATGATGAATAGTTTTAAATGTGTACAGTATTATGAATATAAATCATAGAACAATTTTCTATCGAATATTGTAGAAAAAAATGTATACATTTTCTTTAAAAATAACGAATGCAAGACTTTTCCTTCTAATTGATATATCTTGCAATTCAATCAACATTCTCTTTACTGCTATTAATTTGCAAATCTTAAACTGTTACGATTTTGAAACGTAGAAGACATCCTTACAAAATAATGCAAATGATTAGTTTTAAAGGATGAAAAATAAATACTGACAAGTCCTGCAAATTGAGAGGACAAGAGGATATCAAGTAAGACACAAGACATATCACACCTGATTGCATTGGACCGATATTTGAAAAGTTGTGGAGTTCTATTTACATAAATAATTCGGGATTGAGAAGCACGTGAAGAACGATGACTAATTCTTGCCCCAAATAAATGCATTATAAGTAATAAAATTCAAATGATGATAATCTATCGATAGAATCCATATTTATTTAGATCTCCAAACACCAATGACTTAACGAAGCCAAGAACAGTTTCAGTAAAATCTTTTAGCTGCAAAAAGTTGGAAAGCATTTTTTTCCATTTTCAACATTCATCGCAAATGTCTCGTAATGATAGTATGCCCACGCGTGTTATAATGACCAATAATACCTTCTGAACATATAAGTGTTGTCTGAGTAATTTGTCACAATACTTTGCACTTTTTTTGAAGGTAAACGAATAGTTTTTATCCAGCAGTATTGAACAACCAGCAGACACGAAGATGGAAGCATTTTTATTCAGCTAACTTTGACACAAAATAGTTGACAGATGAGCAGGGGAATGCGAAGAATAAGGAAACACAAAAAAATTTTTAATTACAAAGCAAAAAGTTTGCCGCAAAAACAAACAGTTCTATATTGACCACATGAAGTAAATTAATTGCTTCAATAACTTCGCTAACACCTAATAAATCAGGCAAATGACCTAAGAATCAGGACTGACCTGAATGACTGATGAAAACGACCTCTGAGGCGGAAACGCATTAAATGAGAAATAGTCTTTGAATAATGCCTCCTTAATTTTGAATAACTTTTGATTTTATTAACAACACATTTCAAAATCAGCTATGATTACTTCCGTACATTCAGATCAAACCTGAATGACCTTTTGCATAACCACTACCCTCGTTGTCAGATTCACATCTTATCAGAGCAAATGGAAAGAACTGCGCAGTCCACTCCACAAATGCAGAAAGTACAAAAATCCTTGCAAAAAAATCCCTTCCACCACTTATTCAGTCATTGTATAATGCATACACTGACAATTTTGGAACTATATTTCGCATGTTGAGTCCCAGCCTCCAGTGTGCTCGGGCACAACTATTTTTCAGTCGTATCATTCACTGTCAAATAACGATTCAAGTGCAGGTTTTCTTATTCTTTCAGCCAAGTATTTGCTTTCTCATCTTTTTTTCCCGCAGATGACATTTCGCTATTTAAGTGTATCAATTGGCAATGTGACCGATTTGTGGTAGGTTAGTGATGCGAAGATGGTTCTTAACAAAGCATATTTCTGAATGTTACAAAGTGAGTTGACTCAAATTCATTCAAGAATTGATGGAATTCGTGAAAAAAAAACTGGACGTTTATCTTAGAATCGATGGATGGGTCAGGGGAAATGTGACATGAACATCACGCAAAACTGACATGGATGTGGTACTGTTTGGAAGACGGCAGCATCATGCTTTACTCATTTTCTTTGCCATCATTATTCTTTATTGCTCTGTAAGAAGTTGTTTATTCACGTGGATTCTGCAAAATTCATTTTATATTCCTGTGGTTAATCTTTGAGTTTTATCTACATCTCATTACACTTTTTATTACGTAAACTTCGCAGTATGAGTACACTCTATGATAATATTTTGTTGTCCGAAAGAGCAAATCTGGTAGATATAAGGATTTTTTTTAACATAAGCGAGATAGAAGCGACAAAAAACTGATTTCTTTTGATTTTTATGGTACCAATTGGTATTGTTTTTGTTTATATGTCATGAATTTATTAATGATAGTTCATATGGGATTCCATTGATGATAAAAAATATTTTGTTTCAATCATTTCCTGTTTTTGGAGTATAATTAGTCATTGCCTGTTGCAGTAGAAGGCTAGGAAGGGTATTTGTTACATATAACAGAAGTAATTTTCAAGCAAAGCCAAGTCTATCTTAATTTTTCCTAATTTAATTACTTAATTATATTCAGTTAACTTGAAATTATTTTATTGAATTTGATCATCAATTAATGGGTACTGTTTTAACGCATGTAATGCATAGTTGTTGTTTACAGCAAGATATTCAAAAACGTATGTTGCATAAGTACAAGATTGCAGCACATAGATATATTCAGTGGTATGTAGATATTGTTGAACAAAATATGATTGCAGTAAACGATACTGTAAGCTATAATGGATACGTTGCTTGTCGCAATACAAGACAAGGAAGGGTATCTGTTACTGATAACAGAGGTAAGTTAGAGGTAGAGTCGAGCTTACTTTAATTTCTCAAAAAATCACTTTAATATGAAAATTAGATATTAAAAAAATTTATATAAAAATGTTAATTAAAAGATTCTTGTTCTGGTCGTTTGTGCTAGAGTAACAGAAAACACTTTTGCTATATTTGACTGCTCAAATTCATTTACTGATTTGTTGATTCAATCTACTCCTTCTAGGTTACACTTGTAATAGAAATCACGTAATGTTAAATGGTTGTTGTGAGACTGGTAATGCAGTACGATTTAGCTGTGCTTCATGTGAGCTTTCTTCTGGCTGTTGTTCTTATTATGAACATTGTGTTTCATGTTGTTTAAAACCAGAACAGGTATATATGTATGTTATCATATGCCAAACCCTTTTAGAAATCTTCTGTTCCACTAAATTTATTGGTTGGAAAGAAAAATTACTAATTTTTATATTACTTTTATTCTTTTCAGAAAAATGGATTATTACCAATGATACAATCAACTTCAGGACATCGATTGCGGGAATTATTAGCGAAAAGCCAATTTGAAATTTGTATTTAAAGCGTCGCACTTCTTCAAATGTAAGAGTTTCATATTGCAGGCCTCACAATAGAAACGATAAAAGGATAATACTCTTCTAAAAAGAAGTGCTGGTTTCTATTTTAAAAGAGAAAGTTTTGGTGGTATAGTTCTTCGCATGATATTAGCTTCATTGTATCATATTTTTAGAGCTTAAACATGGAATCGAAATATAGAAGAGAGGGAATGAAACACTGCTACAAACAAGAATTAGACCGTTCTTTCTTCGTATAACGATGATTTAAATATAATTGATGCAGTATTCAATTACATTTGAGAATGCAGACCATATTGTATTACGGTTAATTTTCTAGTTATATATATCGTCTGTTAAAAAAGCGTTTTTTGTTGTGTTCATTTTGCTGATTTTATTTGTAATTTTAGTTCACAGTGGTTGATTATCCATTGCATTTACTCCGTAAAACAGATGACAGTATGAAGCATGCAAAAATGTCTATATTTTTTCTCAAACTGTTTTATATATACTTATCAATAGCATTTTACATGATAAAGTAGTTTGGAAATTTGTGTCACCCATTCATCATGTAAACGGGTTTATAAGATCCAGCATTACTCTTCGTGTCATCGTGGAAGCTAACAAATCTATTAATTTTAATTTGTTTTCAATTTTTGTGTATGTTTTCAGTGCCTCTAGGATTTTATTTTTTTTCGTTCGTCTGTTACAAAGATATTAGCTTTTCAAACACTACGTATTTATTCTAATAAAAACTGTGGAGTGTTTTTGGGTTTGATAAACAGGTTACTACGAGTAAATCACGAGTTTCTGCTAATAAGTTAATAATCGAGAATTCGGCGTTCCATGTATGGTTTGATTATTCAATTTCATTATTTGTCGTAATGTGGTTTTTCACAGTGTTCTGGTAGATTCCGATGCGCATATAGAGGCATTTTTACCCTATTTTGGTTACAAATACAGTTGTTTATATTATTTTTAAGATTTTGAATTAAGGAACCCTCCAATACAATGAATTCGCGTCGACTCGGAACAGCTGTAGCAGTAAAGAAGAAACTTGATTTTCTGCATGAATTGCATTATAAAGCTGAAACAATAAGGTATTGAGAAAAATATCGTGTTTTCACCAGTATCTGTTCATATTTTTATTGAAATTATTTTTAAGCGTTTAAAGGTTGCTTTACTTATGTGCAATTTCTTCTGAGAGTTTATCGGATCTACAGAATACTATTTTTCGAACGATGTGTTTTAGTTTCCTGCTCGAATTGTATATTAACTTCAAAACGTGTGGAATAATACTCAATTTTTTAGACTTATGTGTGTCTTTTCTGTTACAGATTCTGGCACTCATGGCGGCGAGTTTTAGTGTGGGTCTTATTAACTTTGGTTCTCGTTATCGATGTGAGTTATTTCATAATTTACTTATTTTTCTTGTTGCAAAAATTTTTTTCGTTAGTTCCAAAGTTAACGTTTTTTTTTAAAAGAAGTGCTACATTAATACTTATATGCACTCTATCAGGTCTTCGCACTACGGTCTGCTATCTTTAGCAGCTTAGTTTTTGTATTTTCTCGTCACGTTGGGAGTAATGCAACGTCATTCATAATCGAGATGTCAGTGCTATTGATTTCTTTGTTGAATTTGTTGGTATGTTTTCTGGACGCAACAAAAAACTCGTATTGTCTTCTCATGAAGAATTCATCAAAACTTACAGAATTATTTGCTTCTCGAGGAACCGTCAGTAAAAGTGCTTTTTAAACAGTTTTAAATTCCTAAATTAGAAATTCTTATTAATTCTTTATTAAGCAGAGTGTGGGAATTTGTTCCAGATCAAAAGCTTTCGTTTCATGTAAAGAAGTTGGGAGACCGTCGGTTTTTGAAAAGCTCAAAATTTATTTCTTAGAAGAATTTGTTGTAAGCCGTAGAATGAATCTGTTATGGATAAGCGTCGCTATTCTAAAAAAGAGGCTTCAGATAATTTTAACATTCCATCATCTACTATCCAGTCGAATCGAAACTTCATCACTCGTTGGCTTTCGGCTTTACATTTTGGAAAATGGACAAAACAAGCTGTGAAACAATCATCTTCAAGTTATATGCGGCAAAATTTAGCTAATTCTGCTGGATCATCTTTCGTTAGGTTAGTTGATTTCTGAGAAATGGCCTACATTTTGAACTTATTTTTGCTAAAAATTACGTTAATTCATTGAATCATCGCAGTTCAAAAAAATCTTTCTGCAGTAGAAGTCATTTCATTAGCAGATTGATGCTTACTACACCAACGCTGTTTCAAATCATTTAAGATTTTCGGAACTCGGTTTTAATTAATTTCCCTAAATTTTTTTTAAATTTTTTAGTGGAAGATCAGGAGGTGATTTTGGTGATAGCATTTCCTTTAAACATTCAACACCACTGATGGACCGCCATTCCCCATTTGCAGAGAGACATTTATGTCATCCTATTCCACTGGCTGCGAAAGTCGGATCTAGGACATCTTTTCGCAGTCCTCCATTATCTTCTATTCAAACTCATGAACAGTTACAAGAATATCTTCGACACAGGTTTATATTAAAATCAGTATCATCCCTGTTAGCATCATTCACGCTTTTATTTCGTATCAACTTCAAAAACAACTCTATCAGAATTTATACAAATATTATTTGTTTATTGCTTTTTTGGTCAGATGTTGCAGTTAAAGTTCTTCGGGCAATTTTACTAAAAAATATCTCATTTTCATTGTGTCCTAAAAATTTTTTTCACTAAAAATTAAGTTTAGTATTACTCACATTATACTGAACGTTATTAGGAAGCCATATCGATTTATTTGCTTTTCAGTCCTCTGAGCAATCACTTTCACCGGGACTCAGTTTCAACTCCAGTATCATACGGATCATTTCATACTCCTGAATCTGGGCATATTCCTGGTGTTTTTCGTCCATTCCGTTTTTTATCTCCTCAAAATACGAGTTACGATGTTGGTACTGCCATGTGTGATGATGAGCAAGGAAAAAAAATAGATGATGAAAATAGTGTCGTTTCGTTAGTAACAGGTTTATATTTATTCGATGTATATGTAATTTTCTGTTCAATACTAAAAGACATTTCATAAATGACGATATAAAAAAATTTATTCAAAAGTGTTAAACTTGAGTAATTTAGTCACAGGCATCTTGCTTCTCACTTCTTACTCTATTTTTTTCCGAACACAAACGGTAATTTAGGTAGTCGCATAATTGTAACAGATAAGCGAATATCGTTATCTCCAATTCCATTAAATTTAATGGAAGCCGATAATGAATTGTCTGGTGAAAATGCAAAAGGTATAGCGAGTGACGGAAGTGACGTTGCACGAAATGCTGATAATGATAGCATCACATTTCGTGTAAATCACAATGCTGCAAAGCGGTCATCTCAAAAAAAGCAAGGTATCTTTATGGTATAAAACAGTTACTTTTCGCTTTATATTCATCTGTTTAATTTGTTTATTTATTTTGCCCATTTGTTTTATTTATTGATTTGTTATTTATTGTTTATAGGGATTCATATGAAATCTACAGAAGCTTTTCGACCATTGTTTGGTCGATCAGAAAATTGTGAGCGTCGACAGTCAAATGTATCACCACATTCCTACACTCCAAATCAGCTTTCAAATGTTGTGCAGTTAAAAGGGATTGCCAGTAGTCCAAATGGAAAACAAATACCCATAACGTCATCCGAAATATTGAATCAGTAAATTATTTACTTAACTCAGTTTGATAAATTTCGAAAGCTTTTTCATTTTTATTCAGGTATAATATGGGTGCAGAAGATTTTGCTGCTGCGGAACACAATTTACGTTTCTGGATTTGTCAAACAATTTTGCGTCCACTTGTTGAAAAAATTGATGAAGTCAATGCAGTGCTAATTAAAGTTTGTTTGATGTTAATTCCAAAAACTTTTAAGAGTTTATTAACACCTGTTAATTTGTAATCATACTGACCACTTCCAAGTCATTTTTCGAAATTTGAGACTGAAGAGCTTGATAAAAGATTGGGAAATTATGTCAGGCTATATCTTTAAATCACAGGATACAAAAAACTAGGTAATTTCAGTCTTCAGCGCATCCTCTCTTAAAAATTGGTCACTCTTCTGTCGAGGCTCTCCAAGTCGCTGCTTCATCAAAAAGTGAATTGCTTAAATCAGCACTTCCATACATAATACCATATCTAAAGGCTCACGAAAAACAATCGTACTTAGTTAAAAGATGTCGGGAATTATCAGTGGATGTGTGTATGAAAAACTACAATTGGCAAAGTGGTGGAAATGAATTCGTCGAAAAAAAAGATGGAGGTAGCTATTGAAGAGAGTGCAGAATTTCTTTGAAATGAAATGCTCATTGATTTATAGAAGATTTTGTAGTCGGATGTCGAAAATTCATTTTATCAGTGATTAGTGAATTTCTTTGTGCTCTGGAATCAAGTGATAGTAGTTGAAGTCAATTTTGACAAATTCAAATCCAATACATTTTATGATATGTTTCTAAACTTTACCAAAAGCTTGCCTTTAGCCTTTATTTTTCAATCATAATTTTAAGACGAGCATGGATACTCACCACCAGAACGCCCATGGGGTCCACATTTACCAACTGATTCAGAGCTTATTTGGTCGTGGTTTTCAGTATATATGGATGCACGGTAATTTTTAACTTGTGCCAGTTATACTTTCTATTATATTTTCTCATTTGTAGAATACTCGTTAACTTTAAGAGTTTTCATGCTTTTAGCATGGCAACAAATCCCTTAGTGAGTGATTTCGAGATGCCATTTTCATCTGTTTATTATTTGAAGAAGCCTGCAAAACCTTCGCCCTTGCAGTGCATGAAAAAATCGTTTTATATTTATCAGGTATCATTTCAATTCAGTTGCGGAGACTAGTTATCCATTTTTTTAGTCATCTATCTCATCAATTCATAAATTAAAAAAAAATAGCGCTTGCATCATATTTAATTTGATAATCTTCTTTTAGAGTAGCACTCATCCCCCACACTTTGAGTTAGTTTTGGATGGTGGCAGAGAACGCTTTGAAGTAGATCGTGGTTCAAAGAATTTTTGGCGAACACTATTGCTTTTTATTCAACATATTCGTTTATTTAATGATTGCTGTATTGGCAACATAAAAATTAATGAAAAAGGTATTAATCTTTCGTGCATTCTTGAATAAAAGCTTTTTAACACTATTATATCAGGTTTCTGTTATGTTTCCTTTATTGGCTTTGTACCGTTTAATTTTTAGCTAAAATTACTCTCATCATAATAAACAGTCACTCAAAATTTTGAATATAATTTTAAAAATATAAATTCGTGTTTTGGTTCTATGACAATCATATTTGTGCCTTATCCTCAGGTATTATTGCCACTAGTTTGCAAAATGCAATTTTTTCATTGTTTTAATTATGACGACTTGCTCTCGGCTGCGGTCATTCATTATTAGTTTCAAACTTAATACGGATTGTGCCACTCAGATTTTTTCTTTACTTTAGATCTCGTTATTTTGTATGTCCTTTATAAGAAGTGATCGAAATAGAAACTTTAAAATATTTTTAATTTTGAAATTCGTATCTAGTTTTCGTTGCAAAGCAAAGCTCAACACTTTCTTTGGTTTTTGTAGTTGTTTTCAGTGTTTTCTAATTTATAGCACAGTGCGCTTTAAAAGTTTGTGAGCAACAGCAAAATGGAAGTCATAGTGATGAATGTCTGTGTAAGCGTTCATTGACATTATTTAATAAGAAATGTAGGAAACTAAAAACTTGAGATCATTGAAAAAGGAGGTAAGAATCAAGATTTGCACTGTTAATATCGTATAAAATTGTTTTTCTAGTATATTGAAATATACAATAGTTTCAACCAATGTTCCTGTAGATATCACTGATTTATTTCGTTTTCTACCTTTATTCTCCGTCATATCCATCTTTATGGCGAAATGACCATTAAGGTTACTTCTGTGCATTTTTTATCACCTTTGGTTCATATTGTTGTGCTTTGGTTATTATTAACCTATCGATTATGTACTTGGTTTGACCAGGAAAAGATAATAGATATTTGCTATAAACATCTCTTAATCGGCTTAATTTGGTATGATAATTCCATCAGCTGACGCTGATTATCAATCACTTTGAAATTCCTGCAAAATGACATTTTAAGTGTGTTAATTCAGCTAAAGAACCATTTTATGCTAGTGGTGTTAAAACAGATTGTCATACCTAATGAGGTTTTTTGCTTTGAAGACTTTCCGCTGTTCAAAAGCAACAGCTGAAAAATGGTTCATCATGAAACTGAAGACAGCAATAGTAAAAGTAAAAATTGATGATTTGTATTGAGTATTCGAAATATTGTGGCAAGTATTTTTTCTCTACATTTTCTATTAAATGAATAGAGAACCATCAATTAAGTAGCCTGAGAGTAACGTACCTTGATATTTGCATTGCCTGAAGTTTCGCAGAATATTAGCAATCATGTGCTGAAATTTAGTGATGCATGTGAAATTAGATTGGGATCTAATATAGTGGGAGTGAGCTATATTTGGCTATGTTGTAAATTATTCATGTACCGGTAAGTAATAGGTTTTTTAATTTAAATTACGAATTTATTTATGTTTAGAACTGACACCTTCCCACGAAATTTTCTCTTTTGGTGCATACAAATTTTTTGCCATATCAAATGTGGCGTACCATTTTCTCGAAATTTATCAAGCCTGCAAAGTAAGTTTTGTTCCCTTCATGAGTGAACGTCAAATCTTTGAGAAGAAGCGGGATGAATGGGACGGTCGGTCCGCTCATATTTGCAGCCAGCATTCGATATGCGCGATGATTACGCGATGGATCAAGTAATGCCTCGAAATCTGCATATTGTTGCTTCATCTTTGATGGAAGTTTCTGGAAATAGCAGTAAATGCTCTGTACCACATATTTTCTTAACTTGAACAGTATTAAATGACTGGTTTTTATAATACTATTTAATTAGCTCACATCCCAAAGATGAGTGATTCGGCTGACGGCAACGTTGCTGAGACCTAAGATAATGGCAAACAACGACATCAAATCTCGATTCTCTTTAGCGCTACAAAATTTCTATAATTTAATACAATCACTGTGAAAGACATGATTTATTCAAAATGTCAAAAGAAAAAACAAGCTTGGTTGCACTGAAGCTTTATTTTAGATCAATGCTGAAACAATTTTTGAGTCTCATTGACGAATACAATGACACCACTCACTGTGCTGCAATTTTGATGAATTTTTTGAGCACTGAAAGACGTTTGGCACTTCCACGGGCTAACAAAACTTCAGTCGTGGTCCAAAATTGTACCTCATTGAAACGACGCATTAGGAGATCTAAATTTGAGGTAATCCGACCAGGTAGCTGTTCTCGTCCAAGTACCTGAAAATTGCCATATTTACTAAAAGTATGGGAAGATTTTCACGACGTACTCATGCTTTACAATTGATCTGATCAAATCCTCGACTTATCTAGAAATCTTTTGGAAAAGAGACCTGTGTGATAAGTTCTATATCATCTGTTGCTTCCAATAACTGCGTATGAAAAATAAGCAGTTGCTGGGCGATATCAACACTACTTAAATAGTCTAACAACGAAGAATGCATACTTCCTGACGGTTCATCGTGTTGAGGCATTGGTGTCTGAAATTAATTTAAATTCACCCTTTTGTCTTATTGCACATTTCATAGCAAGAACACGATCCAAAATCTACATAATTATATGAGAGAAATGTATTGAGCATTTTTATTTTGATCGATGTATTTACTGCAAAACGCGTAATCAAATAACAATTATAGCGAGTCTAGTATTATATGATTTAATATTAGTTATATTAATTTAAGGTTAACGCGTGCCAAAACATTCATTTAGCAGAACTGGATCTCGAAGTCAAAGAAATTGCATTCATATAGGATATTATCATTGTATAGCAAATCATATAATGCTAGAGGATGTTTGTAATCTTACACGATTATTTTATATTTCATGGCTCTGAATGAGGACAGAAGGAATGATTTCGAGAAATGAGTTCAAAAATGACTTCCTTCATCAACTACTCAGAAAAGTGTGTTGTCTTTTCTTTGAAAATAACTAATCATCACTTTCATTACTTACAGTCTAATTTGTTAAGAGTAGATTTCAGTTAATGCTAGCAACTATTTTACTTTCCAATCCATGAAAATATAAGCTTTTCATCAAACGTTTGCATTACCAAAGTTTCAATTTCATCGCTATATGCTATGTACAAACGTCCATTTAATGAAACCATTGTTGGCACACTAATTTCACCCGGCGGAAATATTATTTTTTCTGAAAAAATACACAACTTTCCTATGAAATAGAAATTGCTTATGAAAATCCACCAATAAATTCAAAGATAGCATTCATTCTTAAAAGGATCTGTATTGATGCATCAAAATTCCATATAGCTGTGAATGAATTTTCGGAATTTCTCAGAATTCTACATTATATTTATAATGTGAACTGTCGACCTGAACAAAAATGCTCATGAAAATAAATAAGTTTTTCAAATATTTCCATCTCTTTTTGTTTTTGCCATCTGATATGAATAAAACACGTTTTTTGATCGCTTTGTCGTTTTCACTGATCTCTTATCATAAAAATGCAAATTATGTTCAATCCCAACGAAAGAAGTGCCAAAAAAGAGCTCATAGTAAGATTTTCGACTATTCTTTTATCATATTTTGAAATTATTCTTTCTTTAAATCTTAAACAATATATAATCTGTAATTATTTCAAGCAGTTCATTTTTGATAGAATTTTTGTCTCTCAGAAAACAGAGACTTGTAATCAGTGAGGAGATAAATGTGAAAGAAATTTTTACTGGCAAAAATAAAATAAAGTAGCAGAAAACATATTCTGATCTAATATTAAAACGATATTTAAAATTTAATGAATGATATAATTTTGCAAATAAAAATATAACCTCTTTACCTCCATTACTTTTCACTTCAACCAACTGTACGTCTTCACTTTGTCCACCGCATCGCATTTTATCCCTTGCCATTTCACATATATCAGCTGCAGTCTTATCCAGTCTTATACTCATTGTGAAGGAGCTTGTATCAGATAAATAAATCACTTGATTACCTAAAATTGATATGCTAAATATTTATTTTAAAAAATAATAAGCTACTAATAATAACAGCAACTAACAAGTATCGAATGGCAAAACGGGATTTGGTGCTGGAGAATGAGAACAATAAACTCCACAGTCGAGAACTACCGATGGATGTCTATTGATAGTTCGCATAGCATTTTCTCTAAGCTCACGAATTGCAGACATCCGTTCTAGAATAGCCAGCATTCCTGGTATCTGCCGACTGTCCTCTAGAACATAACAGTACAACTCCTGGAAATATTTCTTGCGTATAGCAGTATACTTCAAATTTGAATAGCTGAAATGTGCAATCAATCTAAAATAAAGAATAGATGTGGAACATTGCTCCTGTCCCGAATTTTACCTCAACAAAGCTATTCGATGCGGGGTCAAGAAAAAATCGTAAGCCAAGAAGTTGAACCCATAAGTCTAAAAAGGCAACCACGCGTCGTTTTACAACAATTTTTTGTTCATAATCATCTAATGGAAATGCTTTATCCATCCGAACCTCAAAAATTTACTTTATAAACATTTTTAATGAAAACACGAAAAATATTTGAATCTGCAAGATAAGAAAGATAGATATCTCTTTTTTCTCTTTTATTTTCTATCTGTGATCAAATAATAAGTTTCTTCTGTATCACAAAGAACAGAAACTATCATAATACAAATATGTAAATTAATTTGATAATGAAATTTTTAAAGGACTTGAAAAACATACGGTAGAACCACGCATATAATAATTTTTAAGGTAACTGCATAGAATATTTGCAGGCATGTGAATGATGTGCGTAAGTATAAAATCTTCTAAAAATGTGTCCACTAAGCCATCATCGGTTTGAGCGTCTATTCGAGTTTCGAGCAAATATTCTACAGTTTTCTCAGGAACCCCAGCCATTACCGAATAACTATAATTAAAAAAGATATTTTTATGGTTCACAAGCTCCTTTGTGTTAAAATTAAATGTCTATTTATATTTTAAATCAAAGGTACTATCATTATCATCAACTGTCATATCCATAAATTTTATTTTTAGTCTGTATCATGATTTTTTTGACAACCAAAAAAATTAACAGCAAAGCAAAGTAACTCAAATATGAGAATTGTTGAGAAGAAATAAAAAAAGCTCAGGTACTGATATTGTTTTTGGCCATCATTCAAAAACAATATCATTAAAAAATATTACAATTGAATCTGTGAGGAAAATATGCAAGACAATAAAGATACATATTTGTAGAATCAAATTTACTTGCGATTAAAATGTTTCAATCTTTCTTGATGAATCTTTTTAAGTAAATTTCAGAGCTAAGCTAACAGGTTTTAATTTTAATTTTGTTAATGTTACTGATAACTCTGATTTCTTTCGCAAAAAATTGTCAATTTTGATCAAAGAAACAACAACTTAATGTGTGTAGGAAGTTACGTAAAAAATATTATCAAGAATTTGATGAGACTGAAAGTATTCGAAATATTTAAAATTCATTGTGTTCGATGGAGGAAAAAATAAAACGATTTTTTTTGATTACATAATTATTAACATACAAATATCAAATTTGCTTCATTGGGTGGGGTTATATTTGCATGCAGCTAAGAAGTACTATCGCTGTTGATATTTTTATTACTTATCACTATTATCAAATATGTCATGATGTGAAAAAATCGTAATTAAGTAGCACAATGATTAAATAATAAGTATAAATAAGTTTAAGTGTTTACTAACAATTTTTTCAAAATATAAAAGCCAACCAGCATCTTGACCCTGCATTGACATTTGAGTCTCCGATGGTGTCGAGAGTTGCATTCCCAATAGAAAGCACTAGATTACTACGATAGGTATCTGGAAAAGTTTGATGGACAGCATTCATCTTTTCCAGCACAAGCACATCTTGTCCACGTTCTTTTAAACGTACTGTGTTCGCTTCCACATCGCGTAAGATTCTGAGCAAAAATATAAATCCATCTTACTTTACTCATTTCAATTTACTTTACTTACCTATTTCATATCTTTACCACTCAATTTATTTCAAGCACAAGTACTAAAAAACAAATACTTGAACACTGAACGCTAAGAATGAAGGCAAATGGTCTATAATTGATATTATGATATTCAGAGTAATTAGCTGCAGCTGAAATTTTGGATTTTCCAAATCTTCAATATTTTAATAAATCTTATTTTGTAAATGCGCAGTAAACAAAAAAATCATTAGCTAGGATGCAATTATTAGTAAGTAATGCTTGAAAAATAAAAAAAAATGTAAAAATAATCTAAGTTGAAACAACAAGCAATTCAAATATTATCTCAATAAACTTTTCACGACCACTAGATTCGTCCAGAAGGTTTTTTCTGTTAAAATATATACACTCATTTCATTTCAGTCAAACCTCTCTATTGCTGCTTGCGACTTATAAGCTATCTATTTTTACTTTGACTTATACCTTCCGAAAACATTTTTACGAAATTTAAATTAATTCGCATAATATTTTTAATCGTATTATGAACTATGCTGTTTGCATGATGCTAGTTTAATAGTTTGTACACAATTTTGCTCTTATTTAAATCAGTCATATTTTCATAATAACTGAGAGTCGAGAAGCACAAATCTTCATTTCAAGCCGAAGTTTGACTTATGAGCATTCAAAAAAAAAGTGTTTCTAATTTATGACAATGGCATTGCTAAATTAATGCTATTTGTAAAGATTTAGCTTTTTGATTGAAGTGAACTTTTAAAATTACGATAAAATTTGAGATAGAAATAAAGCTGATCACACTACTCTGTGAGTTGTTTGAATAAACACATTGCACATAAAAGCCGAAAGTGATTAATTTTTTCAATAGAAAAGTATGATGGAAATGATTGACTCTATAAATTAAAAGTTCATATCAGTACCACAACCTAAAATGATAATGCTTTTGAGAATAATCATTTTAGGTAGTGGTACTCATCTTTGACAGTTTAAATATGTTAGGCCGAAATGTAGATCAGTTATAGGACTGTAAAGACAATGTCTATATGATTATTTGATACAAATAAATATTACTTCATCTCAAATGAATGAAAACTAATCTTTAGAAGAGAGTTATTTCCAGATCAACGTGAAATAATTCACTGAACTGACTTTATACGAAAAAAGTGTTCATAAAATAGGCGATAAAACAATACAGTATGCATTAGTGAAAATTAATTGAAATAACTGAATATTTCTCAAAAGTTTTTTTGAAAAAAGTATAATAAAAGATAGAAAACCACATTTCACACCAATAACATATATACAATACTGACCTCTAACCAGCACTGATAATGCCATTAAAGAAACAAAATTGAAACATCGACTGATCTTAAAAACTGGTTCAAACATACGTTTTTTACTTACTGAAACAAACAGAGGGGATGAATAGGAATGGAACAGAGCAGACGATGAACACAAGGATGTGCGAGCAAGCGAGTAGAACGGCCAGCAACAAAGTAAACCTTCGAAATAATTTGAGTATGAAAGTTTCCGATCACGTCCAACGACTACTTTATCAGCACAGTAAGTCATTTGCTCACTTTCTACGTCAAAATATTCTAACTTTAATGCAGAGAAACAGTCTGTCGCAATAATTTAGAAGTTGCATTAGTGAGTAGTTGGAAGGATATTAAAATCGTGTAGGATATCTGTAAGAGATTTGGTCTAATGAGTGAATGCATTTTTGATATGATTTGACATGTGAGGTGAGGTGTGTGTACACTTTTTGAACGAAATGATATGCTTGAAGTTATTTATGAGTGTGTTATTTGCAATATCAACATGAATAACATCAACAACAACATGAAATAATGATAAAACAATAATAATAATATGATATTATTAAAATAATAAAAAAATAATAATAATAATACTTATAATATTAGCAGTAATTATTATTCAGTCTATTTCTAGTCATTACTTACGAAAACACAACTGATTCCACTCATGGTAGGAAAAAGAAGAGGATTGAATGCAAAATGGAAAAAATAAAGACAGTGGAAATAAAGTCTTTGGAAGTGACTGAATAAATGAATGATTAATTGAATGATAGAATAAAAGATAAAATGGCATATCTTTTATTCATTAAATAAAATAAAAAGATAACAATTATGTAAGTTATTCCTGAGCGGTCACACAAATTCATCGCGTGTTAATTAGTGATTTTATCCTTTCTATGTGAATCACTGCGTCATTATCACATATTCTTGTTGATGAGGATATATGAATATACAGTAGTTTTACAACTTATATTATTAATTGGATTTAACAATCTTTCAGTGCAAAAGTGAAGTACAATATCTCTGAGAATGGAGATGTGCTTAACTCAATTAATATGCATGCACATATGTGGTCTTTGAAGTGTTCATTATGCTAATTTTCCTCTCAAATTCAGTACCTTGCAGAAGAAATTTTAGAAACACAATCTATGACATCAAATATGCTTTCATGAAGTTAGTATTACTCAACAAATAATGATATTATTTTGTATTACTACTATAAAGCATTGCTAGCATTGCTAGCATTGCTTGCTACCATATTTTAAGAAATTAGATACTAATTAATTGAATAAAACAAATGTAACAAATCGAGAATTATGAATAAAAATTATCCTACAAAGTTTTATCAAATTAATCAATCTTTTAAGTATATCTATTATCGATCATTAATTTATGTGAAGTTAACTTGAAGTAGCAGCACATGTTTATGAGAACTAATAATCTCTTGCAACAACAACAACAACAACAACGAAAACGACAACGACCTCATCGCAAGATTTTCAATATAAATAAATAATTCTTAATATTGCTAATGACAATTGCTGTTTCGTTAAATAATTTACCAAAATTTGTCGAGAAATTGTAGTTTCACTTCATTAGCGACTGCCACACACGATTACAGTCAATGACAAACATTTGCGTTCATTACCAAACAATTAACGCAGTGAAAATATTTTTTCACTGCGTTAATTGTTGTATATTCACATTCCAATCTCAGTAACACTTATCAACAATACTCATTTACTAATTTACTTCATATCAAAAGTCAATTTATGCTAATTATAAATTATGCATATTTTAGTCATTAATGCGCTTTTTATCACTGACATTTGATTGAGCAATTAGACGATAAAATACAAGATGTAATAGCATGAACATGCGAATTATCATAGATTACCGCTATTTTGTTATCAAATTACAACGTTTACTATTGCAATCATGCACGCCTTTCACGTGGAAAATTTAGCTTTGCATAAGTCTTGCATAGGACATTGAACATATTTAATGTTTTGTTGTAGCATAAAATCTCTAACTTTTAATTACATAACTTTAGCATTCAAAAATGTTAGCAAAACTTCATAAGTTATATTTCTGCGTAATTTGTCAAGATCAATCAGAAAATGTAAAAAGACAATTAATATTTTTTATTTATCTGTCTAAATTAGTGCAAAAAACTTACCGATTAAAATCATTTTTGTCAACGCGTAAAAATTGTGATTTGTCTTCTCGAAGAACGACCGTGGCAGCGCGAGGTGCGTCATTCACCAAAGCTAATTTACCGAAATCATCACCTTCTCGAAGTGTACAAACCATTCCCTATCGGTGGATAATTTGTTCCTTTAGTCCGTAGTAATAATAATAATAATAAAATAATAATAATGGGAGGAAATATTAACAGTATTTAATATTGATAATAAAAGTGATAGCTGGTATGAATTTACTCGGCATAATGTAGATCTGATTTATTTGTATTATTATCAACTATTTTATTATTATCATCGCCATAATTACTCTTATCGTTATTATTATTAATTTTTATCACTATCGAAATAAAAGTAATCAGATGCACTTTGTGAAAAGTAACTACCGAAGCCAGTTTGGCAATAATGATGTTCACAATTATGACACCATCGATTATCACTATGACAATGATGATATTAGTAGCGGATATGATATGAGATAAGAATGATCGATCTAGCAGGAATATTTTCCCTATATTCAGGGGTTTGCTACAGCTCAGCAAGTTGTCTTACAGTGATGTAACAGCTTTCATAAAGAGTGCAAATGAGCGAGTGTAAATTTAAAAGAAAATTTCCCAAACTTTATTGCTGAAAAACTAATCTTAGGATTTGCTGAAGTTAAAAGTATATGCACAAAGATTTTTGAGTGAATTTCGAAGCTGACATTTTAATGAAATAATTGAAAGTAGGCAAAAAATCCCTTCTATACCCTTCAAGTAACTCGTTATTTGATTTACAATTAGACTTAAATAACTGACGTACTCTTCCGCGTATAATAACATCAACGGATCCTTTCAAAACGATATACCAACAATTGCCCTGGTCACCTTGTCGGAATAAAACATGTCCAGCGTGTTGGTGTTGTTCAAAGAAGACAACTGCTGCTAATTTGCGCTTTACCATCGTACTCAGATGCGCTAAAGCTTTCACGTGTAAAAGTTCCTCGTATACAAGTTCCAATTCTTCTAATGTACGCTCTGATGGTCTATAAAGAAGAAATGTATAGAAAGCATGAGCTAATGAAGAATGGACATTGAAAGTTCATGCTTATTTTCAGTGCTCCATTACATTTTTCCAGCTTACTGTTATTATTTTTTACTACTAACTTCTTATAAAATAGAAAAATGATAAAATCAGTGTTATTAAACGTACGATTTGCAGAGTATCATACGAAAAAGTGAATCAGGTCCAATAGTGCTAAGAAAAAATATGGCAGTTGCGATATCCTTAACACGGAAAGAAGTTGCTGACCCCGCGTCAAATGGTGGACCAGAGGTTGTCAATCTGAATACTGATACTAAAATTTCGTCCCGTAAAAAGTGTATGCTACATAGTAAGAAAGTTTCAGATGACAAGTTCATAATTGTCAGAACTTATCATACCAAATTTGGCTTCCTAATTTTAAAGTCATTGTGAAAGAAACAGTTATCATTAAAAAATTACTCACTTTTTGGATAAATTTTTGCAATAAAATTAATTTATCATGTAAAAAGCAGTAATCATTATTATGTTCTTTTTCATATTTTTTAATAATTTCATTTGTATTCAGTTTAAAAAAATCAATAAGTGAGCATATAAGTTGACGCGAAAAGGATTTCAAATAAATTGTTAAAGTAGAAAATAATTTTGCAATTCTTTTAAAACCAATTTGTAAATCGAAGAAAAAAATTCATTCTAGAAAACATTTGTACACTATAATTGATGTTATTTGCACGGAGAGAATCCTTTAATGTGCAGATCTTACAAAGGCTATTGCCATTTTTCGTACTTTTTAAATGAATTTGACTTCTATCAATTTAAAAATATTTTTCTATCGTTTTTTAGCAAATACAAAAATATTTTCAAAAACATAACGAGTCAATTTAACTAATACACACCTCTTGTGAGCAGTAAGTGTAGAAGTAATAGTCCAACGATAAAAAATGTGTTTATCAGCGAACTGAAGTTCATTATTGACTGAAATAATAAAAACAGAGATGTCAGTACTTGCAAGCACAAACTTTTAATCATATTTGCAGCAAAACTTATTGAAGTTTATTTCGATCATAAAATTGTTTGATTAATTAAGTATTAATTAATGTATAAAAGCAATAACTGATGCCTTTATGCGACTGAATTTGAAATCAATCTCGGAAAATTGCAGTTTTCTTGATTTTCTCACTTCAACTAAAATGAATTAATTACAGTACCAAAAACGTAGAATTTTCATTTACTTTTTATTCGCTACTGCTAACGTTTAAAGTATGCATAAATCAGTTATTTTTTTTCACTCAGTCAAAAATTCTCTTCAAGTTTTGCTCGTTAAATTTTCAAAGATGAACTAATTTTGCTTTAAAATTTTTATAATGTGAAAAATTTTTATCTTTTACTAAAATGATATCATTTTTTATATTAGAAAATAATGACAAGTACTAAGTCATCAAGTGATTTAAGAAGTTGCTTCCAAGAATCGTATTGCAAAAGTTATGGCAAAAGTTCAAATGTCACGTCATGCACGTCTTGCAATGCCAATTTTATTTACTTACCATGAGCAATGATACCATTTTCCAGCAGAGCTTGCCACATGCCAACAACTTGAAAGCGTGTTAACAACGTATTTTTAGATAAATGTAGCGTTTCGGTGGCGAGGTTACTCAGCCAGCTTACCATTTCCCTGCCAATCATACAGGATAAAAACGACTGAAATTTGCATTTTTCGATGACTGCATTAAGTTTTGCTAATTTGAAAGCTCAATTTGTTTTATCATTGCGTTAACTATTTTTGTTGACTCAAAAATTTCTATACTTTGAAAAATTTTATATTGACGAAAATACAATGATGAAGAGGAAACACGTATTCATGTTCTCGTTGGGACCAAAAATATGAGTGAAAGTTTTCAAGACAAAAATTATGCACGAAAATTATTAATTGGACACTTCTACAAGATTGTACAATTATTATTGGACAGAAATTCAGAAAAGACTTAAAATAATAAATAAGTCTTTATTTTAGTAATCAGCTGAATTAAATTTAACCATCAGAACAACATATTTTTCACACTTAATAAAAAATTTGCTATTTCCGTAGTAGTTATCACATTTGAAAGATTATTTTCAAGCGAATAGCAAACTTATCAATTTTAGCGTAATAAGAAATAAATAAATATTATTTGTTGTTTTTTATTATCATAAAATAATTGTTCAATTACAAAACACCAAAATTTTTATTATTTGAATTTTTTTTAAGTTATCATTTACAATTTGTCCCACTTAGTCTTTCTTGATTTTAATATTTTTTCATTTTTGAAAAAAAAGTCATTTGCTATAAAGTATTTAGCAGCAAATTTAGGCCAAAAAATTGAATTTAAATTTGTAAAATGAAAAAAGTTAACGAACTTCCATTTTTAACCATTTTTTTTGACCTCTTTCTGACTACTGTATATTTGACATTTTAAAATAAGAAATTGCACAAAGTGTTTTGAACAAAATTAGATTTCAAACAATTTTTGCGAATCATTTTAAACCTCAGAGAAAAACTTTTCTGAGAGAGATTATTTCAAACTTTCAAAATGGACGAATTTTTGATTCCAAACAAAATAAGTAAGAAATTTTGTAAAGAAATAAAGAGTAAAACTTTTCAGTTCTGAATTAAATACCTGTGAATGACCTCTGCGATCGCAGATTAGATGTGGAGCTTGTAATTCCATAGTTTGTTTCAGCAACAGTGCTGCCTCGTTTATTCTCGATTCCACTGACTGCAAATCATGCAGGTCTTTGAAGAAGAGGCAGTACTTTTTTGTTTAAAATACTATTTTTCATGTTCATTTATAATTCTAAGTTATCGTGCTGATATACTATATGCTTGAGCTTTGTACATCGCATTTATAAATGCAGTGATTCCATCAAGTTTGATTATTTTAAGTTGAAAAATACGTCTATTTTTTTATTTTTTATAAATACAATTTTACTTGTATACTTTCATATACTGTACATAAGTCAAGATTGAAATGACTTACAACAGATTTATTGAGTTCAAAGTAACTCGAAGGTGAGTTCCAATCATTTTGTTCTTCGCTATCAACGTTAACAAAAGTTGTCGCATCAGATTTGTAATGTACATTATTAACCATCTCATCGCAACACTGTTGCATGCCGCAAAAATTGTACACCATATTTTCTTCTTAATTTATAATAAAATCAGAAAAATAAATTTCTATTTCAGTTTTAAAAATTAACTCAAAAACAAACTCAAACAAAAATTATGTAATAGTTATCAAATATTCATTGATATTCTCACCTGGCCGATTGAAATCCATTACTTCTTGTCCATCGTTCTGGCGTAGTTTATTACGCTGAGAGGCTATTGCTAATGTACCGTAATCTGAAACAGATGCATGAATTCCAATTATGAATGAATCAAAAAACTAAAGAAATCTAATGAAAAAAAGTTGCAATTTGCATGAAAAAAAATCAAACAAACAAAATATCGCATCTTAAGTTGTAGTCAAGCAAAAAACATCAACAACTTGTGAAGTTTTTTAAATATTTTACTAAATTCCCAGGACAATAACTGCTTGCTAAAATTGCTTTCACTTTTATCTCTTTCTGATAAATCATCCTTTATCAATAGAAAGAATTCACTCGAAGTCAGTTGCGGTCAACAGGAAAACAAAGTTAAAAACAAGCTTACTCTTATAGCTTTTAAATAAACTAAACGAGTACTTAAATTCTCAAATCCATTACTTGCCAGACGATTTCCTCTAATCAAAAACAACTTCTATATTTACTGTATTTACTAGAAAAATCAGAGTAGCATCTTTTTAGTCACTGTATTTTTATGAGTGCTATTTAATGCAATCACTTATGTTGTCTACTTTGAACATAACGTGTACAGTTAAAGAAATGTGTCGATCTTTTGAAATTGTTTTACTTTTTTGCTTTAGACTTTTTGAAAATGTGCGTAATTTTTGCAAAAACTTAGATTTGATTTAATTTTGGCATTAAAATTTCACGGCTGCTTCTACCTCTTTCCAACCACTTACAATTAATTTCATTTATAGCAAGCGTGTTATCTTGCTGAAGAGAATATTAATGATTGTTTTTAATAAATACTAATTATGACAAAATATTTATTGTTATAAAAATATAAGTTCAATTGGTTATTTATTTATTTATTCTCATTCTCGCCAGAAAAAACTTCAACATTCGAAGCTTTTACTAATCATAAATTTTAGTGTTAAATGCTGCAGAAATGTGATAAATTGTGGACATTATCGTTTTGCGTACTATTAAGACAATTACATCCTCTTTTTCTCTCAAATATTAATGCCATTTATAGAAAGATTTACATTTATCAAAGTCTCATTATCAGTGTTTACATTTTAACAAGTTTAAATAGATCTTCCAAATTTTGTTGAAAAAAAAGCGTAGATAAATGAATGTGGCAAAAAAATTTGACAGATTTATTAAGTGCTAAAACTTTTTATAATTCAATTTAGGAGCAAAAAAAGCAAAGTATTTTCCATCAAATTCTAAAAATAAATGTAATTTTCTGGGAGATAATTCAGTAAATTATTGCCAGAAAAAGTGAGGAAAACGTGAAAAAGTCCTCCAAATAACCTCTCCCAGTGTGATTAATTTTCCTAAATTAAGGAAAAAACAAAATTAAAAGTTTAGCGACAAGTATTAGTTCAGTTTTACTTTATTCATTTAAAATGTCATGCAAAGGCAGAAGTGAAGTTCGATAGATGGAAAAAAGTCCTAAAAAAATCCAATTAATGCGCTCCAGTTATTTCAAATTTTAGCGAGAAAATTTGGCAAAATTAATTTTTTGATCCAAAAATGAGACGTCTACCCAGCTTTTCTACTCTTTCAAATTGCAGAAAAGATAAAGCAATAAAAAGTTTAACTTTAATTTTAAGATAGTAATTTGCATAAATGTATTAAATAAATGTTATTAAAAAACTCGTTCGATATCATTTAAGCAAGAACTGCGCTCACACTGTTTTTTATGCAAATGTTATAACTCACTTTTTGAAAACTAGAAAAACTTGCAAATTTATAATATAAAACTGATGAATAATATGCTTCAATCATGCTGGTTAGCTAACACTTAAAGCTTCTTTAATTATAAAATGGTACTGTAATAATGCTCGTCGTATCTTAACTTTACGAAAACATTTAATAAAATAATTTCAAGCCAAAATATCATTTGCAGTTGTAAATTTTTTCTTTCTTCTGCTTCCTGTATTGTCTGCACACTTACTCTTTACAATTACGTGAAATTTTTCCATACAAAACTTACGTTTTTTTTACGTGTAATATCTTAATTATTGTTGGTAATAATTGGTGACACAAAACAATTTGCTCTCATAGTCTCAATTAATAATAATTAGCAGCAAACATTTTTATGAAGTTAATCAATTTATTTAATTATTTAAATTTAAATAAGTAAATTTGCTCATAAAACAAA